CTTTTTCAACAGTCCATTATATGTACAATAATTTGTACAATAGTACAAATTAAAAGTTTGTGTGAACAAGGAATCCAGATAACCAGCTTTTAATTTGAACTCTGATAGAAGATTAGTTATAGAAAGGAATGTTTATTCGTTATGAAATAGCAGCAGGGCAATAAAATGAATGCATAGGCAATAGAAACGTACAGTATTTGTTAGTAACATATTTCAGTAGTAGAGGGATAGACTGTTTTATGTAAACTTTATAGGACGTAAACTTACGTGCTTGCAAAACATTACCACTGCACTGTACATGCTAAGAGATTTGTGCAATGGCAAATAAACCCAGCCAAGAAACATTTATTAAGCACCTACTGTGCTAAGTGCTGGTGATACAAAGAAAGGCAGTCCCTGCCCTCAAGGAGCTCACATTCTAATGGGTGAGACAAAATGCAAATAACTGCAAGTGTCCACTATATACAATGCAAAGGAAGGTAGCTCCTGCACAAACATGAATAGGTATCTCTGTCTTAACCTTAGAATGTATATCTGCCTTTTAGAGAAACCTCTCCTTGGCCTGCAGATTTCTCTACACCCTAACACCATATTATTCCACTGCATAAAACTGCTTTTTCTTCACCCAATTTTACCCATCTTTCAAGGCTCAGTTTGTCTAATGAAGCCTCCCATGACAACTGCAGTCCATATTTCTGTCTCCCGTTCCCTAGTTATTTCATATGAGTTTTGTCCTATGAACATGAATCCAGTTCTCTGAACACTTAGTAGATATAAAGTCTATGTATGTAATGACCACTTATTAGTATAGTTTTTATGATGCCAAAATAAATGGTCAATTTGGTAAAATGTTTAGTCAATTCAGTTTTTTGAAAGTCAAATTCCATAACTAAATTTATTAGTACTGTTAAGATGTTGGCTTAATCATCTGGTTAACTATTTCTAGCAATACAAGGGCCATTTTGGCCATCTCAATGAAGTAACAATTTATAATGTGTCATGATTTCAAACTTAGGATGTATGTGAGGGGAAAAAGCACTATTTTGGGTATAAAGTGAATCATAATAACTTTACATGTTTAAAAACATTGTTTTTGGAAAGTCAAATAGTACAAATGTTATTGGGAAAAATATTTTCTTTACTTTTTTGCTATCTAGTTCTTTTACGAGTGTCCTTTGATCATTGTCGTGTATCATTAATCTTATATTTAGAACATTCTTTTAAAAAAAATAACATGTGTAGAGAGTACTGAGTACTATGTCTTCAGGAGATGTAACTCTTTCAGTGTACATTCTTGAATATAGTACACAAAAGTAGAATCACAAACCCCAGCCATATCATATGTGGTTTTCTAAGTGACTTAATATATAGTTTATATTTATTATTTCCATGTAAGCTAGATATGTAGCAATTGGTATGTACCAAGTGTTTAATTTTATGGAGCAAAATAATATATCATTAAAATAATCACTAATCATTAATATGTAAACTAAACTTTTATAAAGAAGGTAAAATAATATATCTCAAATGGCTCAGTTGAAATATTTTACCTGAAAAACTGACTGTTGAATAGTGTAAATTACATGATAGTGCTTTAATAATTATTCCCATGGAGCATAAGTTTAAACAGTTCAAAATCCATTTAGAATTATGTACCTCTTAATTTTCCAAAGAATTTTGTTGTTGGGTTCTTTTTTTTTTTTTGTATTAACTGTAATACACAAATCACAAATACACAAATGAAATCTGAGAGTAGAAGATAATGGACTATTACTATTTATTGCTCAAGTACAATATGTAAGTCTTCAATCTTCTACTCTTCTGTGCAAATAACTTTCAAGATATCTTTTTTCCCTCTCATCTTTTTAACACTCAATTTGTGTTTCTTGCCTGGTCATTTTCTGATAATTCTGTATTATTTGGTACAAAAATAAAATAACATGTTATATCATTGCTTAAATCATTCAAATTGAACCTATCTTTTTTTCTATTTGTTTAGATTTTGACAAAGTATACTTACAAAGCACTTACGTAATTTCCATTAAGTAATGTTTATAATATATAAGCAATATTTTTAATACTAATTTCTAGTATTCCCTAGTATTCCAGTAACTTTTCTGCCATGCTTGATAAACATCCTTTCATAGAGAGTATGGAGATATATGTATATATTTGTACATATAAACATATATAATTACAGAGTCAATTTTTGCAGTCACACAAGAAACTGATGTTCAATTCTAAATCTACACTGTATTGCCAAAGTAGGTAGGAATACTTATAATATTCTGATATATATATGTGTGTGTGTGTATATGTGTATATATATATATATATATATATATAGTGAATGCTAACAAAGATATGTTTAAGACATTGCAGCTATGTACTGTACACACCACAGAAGACAAAGTAGGCCAACAAATCCATTGTTGTCACTTAAAGGTAATATGGAATGTATGGATAAATACTTATTTTTTTATTGAGTATTCTGCTTTTCTAATTTGATCCTCTTAAATTTTTCATTCATCATGAATGTGTATAGCTACGATACCATTTTCTCATTCTTTAAATAAACAGGAGAAAATTTTCAGCTATGTATATATCAGAATAGCCTTAAGGGCGCCAATCACAGTTGAAAAGAATGAACTTTGATTGATTATATTTTCAAATTTTTATAGTATCATACTCACATTCATTCTTACCAAAAATAATAGTGATATTTGCTTTTATTGAGGAATCATTAGAAAAAACACATATGCCCCCACACACATAGACTCACATGTTTATATTGCATTGAAATGCCACCTTTTGGACATTATCACTGGAGGAGTCAGATAGTGCCCCTATAAAGCTTAAGGTTTCTTTGTTTACAATCACAATCTTCCATCACAGTGTTAGACTTTTGTTTATTCTGATGAGCCTTAACCATGGGTAATGGAGACCAGATGAAAAGAATTAGTTGTAGTTTTTTTGTTTCTTGGTTTTGTTTTGGACATGGCATGGCTTTTTCATGTAGTGAAGCCATAAAGATTAAGGCCACAAGCATCAATCTTGCTTTGTTGCTACTATGATATCAACCCAGTAATCAAGGAATTGAAATGACTTATTTAAAAAATTCAGCTCTGACCTCCTTTTATGAAAGTTATTAACTTATACCTAGATTCTCATTGAGTCCTACACCATTTAATATTAACTACCAAATACTTTCCTAAACTGAATATAGATTTATACAAAACTGTTTTTGGTTTCCTTATGGATTCCCAGTCAAATTTTTATATGTGCTTAATTGCATGGTATACAACCTATTGATATTGACAGGATTATTTAAAAATGACTATAGAGAAATAATTTTCATAATTAATGACAATGTAAGACTACTAAATGGACAATTTAATTGACTTTAATGGTCAGTTCAGTTACGTAATTTGTTTGAGCAATGAGAACATAGTCTAAGGTGGTAAATTTTTTGAAAAATAGTAAAGCTTTACATGTTTCTATTTATATATCCAGTCTACTTCGGTTTTTGGATTAGTATACCTATAGTAATAATCTATGTAGTTATTAATATTTTGGTCACTCTTACTTAGACATAAGAGTAATTCATCTTAATAAATATGGTCATAAAGCCATAAAAAGTGGAGGTGGCTATGAATCCATAAAGCAGATCTGGTTTATACCTCTTTCCTAAAATGGGAAATACTGTACTATTTTCATTATCTACCTCCCAGGGGTGTGGCGAAGAAAGCGTTTGGTGAACCACAAAGCACTATAGAGAGGGGAACTAGAGAAATAACAAAACTACCTATACCACTAGTACAATACTTTTAAAAATACTGAAAAGCTATGATTAGCTATATAGTTACATCCACATTGATAATGAGCAAAGACCTAGTGTGAATTTTTCAGATCTGAAGAATGTATTTGTCAATTTTGATATGACCACAATTTTTTTTTTGTTTTTGTTTTTTGGTCTGACACAAATCACCCACCCCCACTGTATTTGTAGGGCATCATAGCCAGGAAGTATACTCCACTGTTACTGATGCTAACCACTGCGGTCTGTGGAAGAATTCTACCTGGCCAACACAAGGACTCTGCTCCCTAGTAATGAGCATCCAACACTCATACATAGTGAATGTATTCACTACCTAAATTATAGTAATCTATATGATTTGAGCACATTTATGAGCTACACCTGGAAAGGTTCAAAAATTTTCTTTAATTTAATCCCTTAATACTTGTAACAGTGCTCTGAACATAATAGGTATTTAATGTCTGTAGAAGTGAAATGAATTTCTTGCATCATATCAATGTAAGGACAACATTTGATGAATAGGCATTGCATCCTAAGCTGAGGCTTAAGAGGAAAGCCTAAGCCCTGTCTTAAAAAGATCATGATGGCAGAAAGAAAAGATGAATACTATCAATAGTGGAACGTCAAATTGAAAACTTCCTTTAAAAAGGAAAGACATAGTATCAGAATATGGATATATATATGTGTATGGATATACATATGGATGCATGTGTAATTTTTGTTATTGTTATTCAGACCTGTGATTTCATCAAAGAAGACTTGGTGTGGAAAATCCTTCTAAGTGCATGTCAGCAATTTGCCTAGTGTCACATAAGGTCTTCCTGACTCTAGGACCAGGTCTCAATTATATCACATTGCCTTTCCTGTCTTTAGATGTAGATAATTTAATAGATATGTAAATACGTATATGTATATATGTGTAATAAAACAAAGAAAACTTTTCTATTAAAGATACAAAGGCAATCAGTGCAAACTCACAAAAATGTACTTCACAATACATATAGGAAGCTTAACTTTTAATAAAGGAGTATATCTAGCAAAACATTATATATATAATGTTATATATACATGTGCATGTATATATAATATATACATATAATATACGTATAAAATATATATTATATATAAGAATTTGCAAAATTGACATTTTTATTAAATAAAAAATAAATAATTTCATCACACAAGTTCACATACCAGGTACAAAAACAGTAAATTCTTTCTCAGTGCAATATTTCTTTTTTATCTTTGTGATTGAATTCTTTTTTCTAAAATGGGATAAAATTATTTAGCTAGAAGGGTAAAAAGGCTTGAATTTGCCAAATCCATAAGACTGTCCTATCAAGTACTTTTAAACATGGAGGCAAAATTAAATCGTGTAATCAGAAAAAGAAGCTATTTTCTTTCATCCTTTTTTCTTCATAAGGAAAGAAATTCCAGGAGTTACTAACTTTTGTGGGTGAAATTTCATTGTCATCAAACCTGAGCATTCCAATTCAACTCAAATTTGTTAGGAGGAAGCAGCCCTGAGCTTTAAGGACTTTAGGATTTTTCAGGCATAATGAAAATAAGCATGTTTATAGGATCACAGGATCAGAATTGGAAGATGCCTTAAAAGTCATCTCCTGTAAACCCTCCCATTTTACAGATTATGATACCAAGACATAGAGATTTTTTTTAAAAATTGTAACTAGCAAAGAAGGGATTTGAACTCAGGTTCTCTGACTCCAAAACCAGCACTTTTCCAATGCACCATGCTGCCTCCCACTTTCAAGCAGAAAAATAGTCTATAGGACCATAGATCTAGAGTTGAAAGGGACCTTTGAAGATTTTCCCCTAGTACACAGTCTTTATTCTTTAGAGATATGGAAGTGTCCATTTCTCTGAACTGCATTATCCCGTCTTAGTCATTCCATCCTTTGTACATACATTCTTGGAGTCATTCTACCCTTATCCGTCAGTGAGAGCAGCAGATACTGCTTGGGCAAAAGAAAGAGGGTCCTTTACATAGAGCTGTTAGATATAGTGGTTTGAGGTCAACTCTATGTCATTTGAGTAATAAATACTAACACTGTAGATTAATATTCAAGAGGAGTATTTTCCTCAGAAAGAAAATGAAAAGCACCACTGATTTTTTATATCTACAATATTTTATGGCTCCATCACAGAGAAAAAGGAATGCGTGCAATGATGTTTGACTCAACTCAGATTTGTTAGGAAGAGGCAGCCCTGTGCTTCTAGGACCCTAGAATTTTTCAGGCACATTTATAGGATCACAAGTTGAGAATTGGAAGAGGTCACCTCATTTATATCCTCCCATTTGTCTGCAATGATGAACTCAATATCCATCTTCAGCATGATCACAATCAAATGGTGCAAAATTATGAATTGAGGATATATCTACAAAGTATCCAAACAATTAGCTTAAATATGAGTTTTGGTGATACAAGTAAACAACTTCAACTGATTTTCTTTTATGGAAACATGTACAATGTGTTTTGATCATGTGAAGAGGTTATATCACATAAGAGAGAAATCAAGAAAAATGGTCTGAATAAATACTTTGGACATTATATCGGTTGGTCTCTGAGACTGCCAGGATAATAAAGCTGGTGTTATGCTAAAATACAATGCAAATGAAGTAATACACTCTAGGCAGTTGGAATATACAGAAAGACTGTTCAGTGAAAAGACATAAATTAAAACACAGAATTTAAACACAGCCATCACAGTCTGTGTCAGGAAATCTGTCAGCTGGATTGGTATGAGTTGAATGACTTAAATCAAATAATTTTTTCTTCTGCCAAATATTGAGTATCTCTAAAGTTAAATACTTCTAAATAACCATTTAAATCAATGGATTATAAGCATTCTTTGCTTTATGAAAACATAATACATAAAAATCCATGCCTCCATAAGATATGTCATGTCTACCAGTACAATAACATCAAATATATGTGGTTATGACTATTATGAAACTAAGATAAAAGGACACTCTGAAATTTCTCCAAGTTTAACTCTATGTGTTTCTCTTTTAAAAATTACAATATGGTCTAAATGGCATTAGTAGTCTAAAAATTGTAAAGGCCTACATGTTTTCAGACTTTAAACTCATGTAACAAAAATTTGGAAGAGGAGAGAAGCCTGCATGTTTATGGTTAATATAATAGTTTTTTTTTCTAGCGTAATACTACTAAAATAATATGCTTTTCATTTGGGAAAGAAGTCTTTAGTATGTGAAGTATGTTTGATATACCAATTATTTTTCTCTTTTAAAAAAATAAATTATTAACTTCTACATGGAAAAACTCTTACTGACATTGATGGCAACCACATCTGGATGTGGTTAATTTCTGAGTGACACAATATTTTTAGTAAAACCGAATATTTAAGGTAATCAAAACACTAATTCCTTATATGATATAGTTTTTAACAAAACAAGATAGACAAACAGCACATTACATATTTTCTGGTAAGAGGGAGGATTCTAGGATATAAAGTTTTAAGTAGAGATACAATACAATTTGTTGGGTATCTTTCCTTATTAAGGAAAATATAGCCTCTCCAATAGCTATTTTTAGGCACATGAAACTTTAAATTTCACTTGCAAACCACAGGAAGAAAACAGTCAAGAATATATAGTTGACAATATTATAAAATATTTGATTTTTTTTGTAAATACTAAATTTCTGCACGCCCCCCCCACTGATGTCTTAAAAAATCCAAATTCTATACACATACATACGTACAAAATATGTTCTAATCAATTTGGCTGGCAACCTGAAAAATACAGGTACTAATATATCAGAGAGCCTCTATATATGTTTATAAGTATTCTGATAATCTCTGCTCAAGAATTTTTAAAATTACATTTTGTCATGGTGTTAGTCTTTTAAAAAATATATTGTCTACTATCAACAACAAGCTTATATTTTCCAGTAAAATATCCACAGCTCTTTCTGGAAAATGGGTGAAACTGAAAACAGCTGCAGACCTACTTTGGTCAATCACTTTATGTATAGAATGAATTATTTTTAATAGAATCAAGTTATATAAAAATTATATATTTACAAACAGCAAAAATAAATCATGATTGAAAATTATTATGATGTCTTCAAAGGCATTTTTAAGAGGTAGGTGATAAAGAGGAAATAGGTTTGTACTCTTCAAATACCTTATGAGCTTACATTCATTCATTTTGCTATTCCTTTTAGGCCCAGAAGACTTAATTTTCAAGGCTTCCTTTGTCATATTCCAGGGTTTGAAAAGCAGATTCTGCTCATAATTTGAATCATGAAAGTAATTACAACGAAGTTTAGATTTTTCCACCCAAGGTACGCCAGTGGTGTCTTGCTCAATTATTTTTCTAAACAAAATCATAACCATGTGCTAGCATTTCTTTAGAAAACACTGCTTGAATGCTGAGGGTCTCTGTGACAGTAGACATCCTTTTGCTAATTTTTTGTGTCCATCCTGGCATTGCACAGTCCTGGTATGCCAGCCTGTGTCACATGTTCTAGAGCAGGAAAGCCATGGGCCTGTAACCCACTGTAGCTGTGAGGTCTGTGATCCCATTTTATTGCTTCCATGATGACTGACTGAGTTTGATTTGGATGTTGACTTTTTGGGAACGAAGAAGCTATAGCGGACATCTACTGTTTTGCTTGGGTCTGTTGCAAGAATCTGAACTATAAGAATCTCTTTTGTAGCTGAATGTCCCATCCCATGTAAGAAGTCATCCTTGTGGCTCCAACCACTATAGTTCATGACAGTCCCATTGATATCAATAATAGTCTCTGACGTAGATATCATATACTTTCCATTGATCAAGTACTCACCATTTTTCTTTTTCAGGGCTAAGTAAGCAGTAAATCTGTTCTGGTCTTTTGCCTTGAATTGTCGGACTTTGATGTGAGTGGCACCTTCAGGTATCCTCACTACATCTGTGTAACCCTTACTAAGAGACAAAAAGACAGAGACAGAGAGACGGAGAGATAGAGAGATGGAAGCAGAGAGGGAGAGACAAAGACAAAGAGCAGCAGGCACAGAGACAAAGAAACAGAAAAGGTAAGTAACTGATGAAACAAATGGATATTCTTTAAAAGTCTCATTTTAATTTGGTGTTACATTTCAATTTTGTCATGTTTTATAGTCTAGGGTAATTTAGCTTAACCTTTTCACTTTATAGAAAAGTAAATGGAGAGGCTCAAAGGCTCAAAAATTCATCTAAGATTAGCAAGTAGCAAGGTTAGAATTTGAATTCAGATATTGTGAACCCCAGCACAGCACTCTTTCCATCACACCCAAACATAGCTTTCTTTAAAGCAAACTGCTATAAAACCAGAAAGGATAAGGATCGGTACTTCATTGGTTTAGAGACCTCTCTGTGAAGAATTCCCTTTACCAGTGCAGGCTGGCACCTTTCCTGAAATATATAGTCTTAGACTTAGAAAATTGCCTTATGTAGGGTCACATAGTCAAGTGTCAGATGGGACTTGAATCAGGTCTGGTTTCTGAGACAACTCTATCCACTAAACCATGATGTGTTTTTATAAAATTAGAAACTGTTTCTTTTAAAATTTCCTCATTTCAATAAAATATTAGTTAGAACATGCTTCATTATCATATTAACTTTTATTTAAAAATTCAATTTTACTCAATATGGTGTATCTGTAACCCTAGATTCTTAAATACCATATCTATATAAGAATTCTGTTAGGTCCTACAAACCTAGGATGGCTCTGAATACAAATCTTATAACAGACTGAGACAGGTTATTTGAGAATTGGTTTAGCTAAGACTGGGGTGTCTCATCACCAGACAGGTGGCCAGGAAATAATGCTTTTTTTTCTATAGCAATTCATGAAACCATCTGTAGAAGGAATAGATATACTAACAAAATCACAAATACTTTGAAGTATCAAATGGCATGACAATATACAATAATACTATATATTTAGTTCCCACTTTTCCTTTCGAAACCTAAAGAACCTAAACAGATTCATTCTTACAATTTCAGGAAGGTAAATAGAGATGAATGTCCTATTTTATAGCTGAGTAAACAAAAACATAAGTGGATGAAATGTTTTTCTCCAAACCACAACTATAAAAAATGAAAACAGAACCTACCTCAATTTTCAGTCCTTCACTTTGTCAGTGGACAATACTGTCAATATAACAGGGGTGGCATGCAGTGTTGGTAATGATAAAATGTAATAACCTACTCATCATTTTGCTATGAGCTGTCAAAATAGCAATAGTTTAGATAAAGTAATTTTCTGTGTGTCTCATTTTTACTTTTGCTATATTTTCTTAGCTACAATTCCTTTCTTAAGGTCCATCATATTGGAATAGCAGTGAGACTATAGTAGAAAGAACAATGGACTTAGGTTCAGAAAATCTAAGTATAAATTCTTTCTCTAACAATACCTAGCTATGTGACTATGGCCAAGTCATTTTATTTCTGTGTCCCTGTACAATAGGAATAATAAAACTTGTATTAAGTACCTTGCATGGTTTTGTGAAGATGTATATATTATAAATATTAAAGCTCTATAGAAATGTAAAGAGACACTTTCTGAGAAAAGGGTATTTGTATAAATTCTAATACTCCTACCCTGAGTAGAATCTCTTTGAGGGAAGGGATTGTCTCATTTTAAGAGTTTTTATCCTCAATGCCTAGCACATAGAAAATATTTCATAATTATTTATTGAAATGAAATTGATTAGATAATAGTCAAGATAGACTTCTTATACCAACTCCCATGTAATAACAATAGTGTTGTGATGAGAGTACACTTTATTACCATAGCTTCAGTCATGAATATTTTTATTTGTCCAGCTCAGGTTTTTTTTTTCTATTATGAATATTTTGCTGATATCAGAGATTTTACTTCTCATTTTTCTCTTCCGTGGTTAGCACCTCCAATGTAACCTGGATACACAGGCAAACCTTGCCTGTACCACTGCTATACATATGAACTAAAAGGCAATAGAGGTATATAGAATTGGAAGGGACCTGTTAAGAGATTATTTAGTGCAATATGTGCATTTTAAAGATATGAGATCATTGATCTCATATAATTTACATAAGCTGTGAGTTATTATTACTACTGAGCATTTGAAAGACTTTTCTAACTTAAGAATCTATTTCAGTTCTTGATGACTCTTTTACTTGTGTCCTCAAGGCCAGAGAAGATCCCTCATAGCTTGAAGATTCACATATCCCAGAGCTTTGCATCACTTCTCTTTTTGTCTTTATATTCACAATTTGCTATCAGAGCAACACAATACATTGCCACCTAACCTCTACAGATTCATACTTCTTTACTCATAAGCATATATAAAATATGTTACTCACTATATCCATTTGGAAATTTAAAATTTTGAATGCCAAGCTTAATTATAATAAGGGATATCTGTCTCATCACATTACCTTTTTTTAGTAAATGTTCCCATGACCTTTGTACAGCTGGAATTATCTCCTCCGCATACACCACACTTATCATATTGGAGCTTTGAACCAATAATGTTGTCACAACCAGTTCTTACACATTTCCCTTGAACACAGATTGAATTACTGTATGGTCTACATTCGGTTCCATCCTTCACCTAGGTAATTAAGAAAAAACAACTTAGAATTTCAATAACTTGGTTCATTTAGTGCACCTATAATTTCTACTTTGTAAGTTTGCTTTGAAGGACGGTGAGCCATCAAAACATGTAGTTCCCAAAGCAATGAACTGAATGGTTGTTGGCATTTTGTTGGGTGATTCCAGGCAAACCTTTAGTTTTGTAAATCTAGAAATCTTATTTATCAAGTGATCCAAAGTCCTCAATTCCCTTTTTGCATATGTAACCCTTTCCAAAATTAATATTTTCTCTTTCATTGTGGTCACTATGAAACCTTCTTCAGCTAGTGGTGGGGAATATTGTTTAGCAGCTAGGCAGTGTAGGGGGTGGGGGACACATTAGCTAGGTTTGTGCTAGCAAATGTTTAATAATTGACTGCAGCATGTTTGAACTGGCTCCAGCATATCTCTGGTGCCACTAGGAAAGCTGAGATGCTAGTGTATCATCATTATTAATTTAAAAATAATCATCTCAAAGTTAAAACTAGTATCTCAATTTAGAAGGATTCAGCATTTTCTACTTAATGGTTCCAAATCACAATAGAGATGAACAGATGGAGATATTCTTGGTCAGTCTGAGGAAGTAACTCAAAAGACAGACTGTGATCTGACCAACAGACTCAGGAGAATTTGCTTTGGGGCGCATTGACAAGGTTCATTAACCATTTTCATCTGATAATGTCCATTTATTGCATTTTTGTTTTGATTCACAAACTCCAGAAACAGTGGTTTTGTAGATATGTGGGTGAAAAGAGAGAAAGAGACACAAAGAGAGACAGAAAGAATTTAAAAATTCAATTTAAAATTGAAGAAAATTTGATAGGGATGAACTAATTTAAGTTCCCTTAGGTTATTTACCGCTTAGGAAATAAAAACCTTTGAGACAGATTTTCATAAATATTCCCATGTAGAACTTATTTGTTTGGTTGCTTTAGTTTGGCCCTGTAAAGATATGTTCCTACTCTTAGGGTAGAAACTCCTTCCTTCGAGATCAGAAACTCATCTAGAACTTAAGAGTCTGAGAGAGTTGCCTAAGGGCATGGAGGCAGTATTTGCTTATGGGCAAACTAATGAAATTTGCCTCTCTCCTCAGTACAAAGAGGTTGAGGACTATTTGACCTGTATGTGGTCACTACATGAGATGTTTCAGCTTAGCTGATTTTATTTGTTATGAGAAAGGATTCAATCTCGAAGAATTTTTTTTTCTCTAGAAATGATTGTAGTATAAAGACAAAAGACAGCTTGACGTTTTAAAGAGAATAGCTTGGAGGATAAGAGTCTAGGTGACTTGCTCACTGTCCACAGCTAATATAATAGCAGAAATAGAGCTTCAACTCAGGTACAATTGATTTATCAATTTTATAATTTTGAAAATTGTAATTTTTGATCCGTAAAAAAACTAAACCATAAAAAGAATATTAGATTGCTATGAAGTTTAGCCAAGTTTTCCTAATAATAAAAAGAGGTATATGTTTACTGTCAAACTTATACTTATGAAAGATTTAGGGCCTTCTGGAGTAGCTGTGTTACCATATATGTATGTGTGTATATAGTTATCATAGGACTACATCAAAGATTCATAGTATAATTGCATAGGAATGCCCTCCAACAAACGTAGATTACAATCTGTCTGTCATTTAGTAGATAAATGTTATAATTGCCTATGGTTCAGAGAGATCGACGTATGTCCATGGATTTATAGCTAGTAAATGTTAGAATTGTGGTTAGAATCCAGTTCTTCATGAGTGCTCATCTAGTGCTCTTAACAACTACAAAAAGCTGCTTCTTAAGAAGAAAGAGAGAGAGATAAGAGAAAGAGAATTAGAGGTAAAGCTCTTAATCAATAATGCTGTCACAAACTTCCCTTGAATACAGATTGAATTACTGTATGGTCTGTATTCAACTCTATCCTTCATCGAGGTTGTTGACAATATGTTAATTTAGAATTTCAAGAATGAATATCTCTTTGGTTTATTTGGTATACCTGTAATTTCTGCTTTGTCAATTTTATTTTCTTGGAAGGATAGCTGAAAACTGTGTAGTCAAAGCATATAGTTCCTAAAAACAACAAACTGAATTGTTGTTGATGTTTTGTGGGGAGATTCAAGGCAAGGCTTTAGTTTTATAAAACTAGAAATATCTTACTAGGATATTTAAAGTCCTCAATTCTCTTTTTGTATGCGTAATCCTTATCCAAAATATGATATTTTATTTTATTTACCTAATATTTATTATATGCCCAATATTATATGATATATTTGGTTAAAGGCATAGAAGTGAACGTAGAAATAAAAACAAGTAAAGCTCTTTTATGTTATTCCTTAAGAAAATCTTTGGGAAAATATACAATAAATAGTAGCACTTAATTCAGTAAATGTGTAAAGGAGGAAGGCTGTTTTATATTAATTACTGTGAAAATCCTTGGAAAATAGGTATATGTATCTTCTTTATATATTCCTTAGTAACTAGGTTTAGTTACCTAATACTCCTAAAGAAGGTATTGTTTGGTGTTTGAAATATTTGCTATTGTGAAATTTGAGTACCCAATCACTTCTTCTGTCATAGAGTTTGTATTACCAAAAAATTTAAACACAAAGAATAAGTAAATGGAGGCAGCTAGGTGGTGCAATGGATAGAGCACCAGCCCTGGAGTCAGGAGGACCTGAGTTCAAATCTGGTCTCAGATCAGACATTTGACACTTACTAGCTGTGTGACCCTGGACAAGTCATTTAACCCCAACTGCCTTGACAAAAAAAAAAAGCATAAGTAAATGTAATTACCTTTGGGGAAAATACCACATAGTAGCCTGTTCCTTTGGCTCTACAGGTCAGCTTGCACACATCTGCGGGCAGAACTCCTGCATATTTGGGCACCCACTCCACAAATGTCTTGATCCCTTTTATATCTGATTGAAATCCATTTTTAGCTTCACATTGTTCCTGACGAAAGGCTTTAGCTAGAAAACAAATATCTTAGCATTCATATATGTATCTATATTTCACCTAAGGGCCAAGATATTGGGAATTTCCTGTTAAGTCTTAGAACATTTGGAGATTTTATTTTAAGGACAAGATGTAAACAGCCCTGATTTCTTTCTTGTTCCCCTCCCTAAATATTCATATACTTTACTTAGAGCTAAGAATGAAGTTTTCTCCCAGACCTTTGGCCATCATCATCTTTAACGCCATGCTATTGAATTTTTATCATTATTAAGTTATTTTTCTATACTGCTCAATTATAGAGCAGTATATAATTGCTCTATTTATATAGGAGCAAGGAGGTCCTAGAATGGCATTTCCTAAAAGTGCTCTTCCATTTCTACAACTTTTCCTATGCGGTATTCTCAATATGAGCTGTCTCGCCAGTGGAGCAGGTCACAGTATCATGTGAGGTTAATCCCTCTCTACTAAAGTCTACAACCATTAAAATGAGAAGAATACAAGACAAGTGTCATGGAACATACCGTACGTTGGACACGCTGTGACACTACAGGAGCGGTAGATGGCTCTCTTTCCAGTGCAGTATCGTCCATTGTTTCTAGGTGGTGGATTATTACAATGGCGAAAAGCAAACTGAACTCCTCCCCCGCATGAACGGGAACATTGGCCCCAGGAACCCCAGGAACCCCAGTTGCCATGGTTTGACGTCTGAAATGCAAAACAGAAGATGTTTCAAATGGAAATAAAAATCTTGCTACAATTTATAATATCCTTTGGGGAGACATTGGGAAATTACTGTTTCGATTTGAGTTTTCATAGTAGTCATAGGATTTATGGCTGAGTGGGAACTTAAGGATAATCTAGTAAACCCCACTTCATTCTATGGATAGGGAAACTGAGGCCAGCAGAGGGCTAGTCACATATTCAAGGTCACACAGGTAGTGAGCAACCAGGCCGGGATTCAAATAGGTTTTTGGACTTCTAATTCTGTTTGCTTTCTACCATACCACTTCACCATGTCAAACTATGGGATGCTGCAGAGACTGCAGAGTCCAGAATGGATATGGTGATTATATACAAAGAGTTCACTAAACAGTCACTTGATTTTTTCCTAACACAGCAGGATCCAAGTGGTTCATATTATCTAAGTTCCCAGTAAAAGGAAGGCATCATCTCATGGTACCTACAGAATATCCTTCTGCCTATGGATTTTAACATAGTATTTGTTTCAAACAGAGCAGGCTCAGAGTCATCTTGTTACCTACTATTACCCTGGGTTGTCCTCTATTCTTTTACAATTATTGATTTTTTTCTCTCACCAGATTTTCTATGTAATAACTGTAAGTGAAGCCTTGCTATTGATAATGAATTTATTCTGTAGCAGGGAAATCTAAAGAATCTGATAATTAGGTCCAAAACTTGATTCATAATAATTTTAGGATGCTAAGCTTTTTAAATATATTATTTCTTTGATTCACATAATATTTTAAGGTATATATAAGTATATTTATATATACATATATAGAGAGAGATATGTACATATATTTATGTCTATATCTACATCATATCTATATAATTGTTGTCCCCATTTCACAGATGAGGCAACTGTCTCAAAGATGCTAAGTTACCCATGGTCACACAACTAGAGTACACTGTCAGTGATGGGATTGGGAACATGTCTCTCCTGGTACTAAGCTAGGTATTCTTTCCATTATATGTATGCTGCTTTTTCTTGTGAGTCAGATATCCATTCATAACTACAGAACATTAGAGCTGAGTAGGACAATGAAGACATGAAGACAAAGAATACAATGTCTACCTATATAGTGATACATTGAAAAATTAGTAATTTTATCATGAATCTCACCACCACTGTAACAGATCAAAGCCCTTTCATCTTTAACATTTGCCCTGGTAGTCAATCTGCTAGTGATAAGCCTCTCCACACTTAGCCAGGCTGTTCTTTGAATGACTGCTGGATATCAAATGTTGACAGGCTGTTCTTATAGAATTCTAGCTCGGTAAGATGTGTTCTACTCTCATAATTTATGCATGAGATATAGCATAATATCAGGACTTTCATGGAGAGTCAAAAATGCAGACAAAAAGAAAGAGACCCTTTGTAACAATTCAGGTTTTCTTTTGCCCTGTAACAAAGTCTGGCAATGATCCAAATTCCTTTGGTTAGTGAATTTTGTGGAAGACTTGTAATGACTATGGAAACAACCCAGAGTGTTTCTAAATACTGCTAAGAAGGGCATATATGGAGGTTGTGTGACTGCCTCGTAAAATAAAACAAAAATGAAAAACAAGGAGTGCTGCTTCTATCCTACTGTGCCGAGGATCTGAGAAGGATTAGAAGAGAGAAATAGAATATGTTGTTCCATCCCTGCAACCAAGAGTAGTAAGTGTTGGTTTGAAATTAGGAGTTGTAGAGTCACTCTGGACTAGGAGTCTTTAACTGCTTTGGTATCATGGATACTTCTGGAAGTCTGGCTAAGCTTATGGACTCCTAAGTATCTTTTGTGGCTTACATTCATAATGGAAAGAAATGGTTTTAGTTAGAGGTCAGTGAAAATAAAGACCCATTTTTTCCCATCCAAGTTCACACAGCCCTTGAAACCTATTTATGGACCCCTAAGGGGCTCATGAGCCACAGGTTAAATAAGACCCTCTGCCCTAGACTCTGTGGTAAGGACAAATGACTACTTAGAAAAAAAATAAACAAGAGCACCCACACTGGTGCTACCACAATTTGTAGAGTGGTGTGAAATTTTTAGAAAGAAAAGCACTAGATTTGAGTCCTAGTGCTGTCAGACTACATCAGCTGTGTGACCCTGGACATGTCACCTCTCTCCTCTGGGCCTCAGTTTCTTAATCCGTAAAACAAGAAGAGCTGGAATAGATGATTTCCTTCTAGCTTTAGCATTCTGTGAATCTGGTCTCTTAGTGGCAGCTCTGGTATAATGTCTTCGAGTGAATTTAGTTCTGTTCTGGATTTGGCTTTTAGTCTGCCTTTAACTGTGTGACCCAGGGCAAGCCATTTAACTTCTCAAGAGCTCAATCAATTTCTTCATTTTAAAAATTAGGGAGTTGGACTTTAGGATATTTACCGTCTCTTCAAATTCTAAAACTCTTTGAAATGCTAGTAATATCAGAATGCTGAAGTATACACAACATGGGTTTCCATGTAATACTAAGTGTCTACCCCATTTCCCCAGCAGTTGATTTCATTCAACAAGCATCTGCTAAGCACCTACTATGTGCAAGACACTATGTTAGGCATTAGGCATTTAAATAAATGACCTCTATGGTTAAAATGAGCAGTTGGAGGTAGAATATAAATTTCCAAATTGAAAACACTTTCTTCATTGAATATTTTTGAAGAACTCTTATGGCAGTCCTAGCACATGCCAAATAAATCAACATCATATTTGAATTTCTGGATGGTGTACAATATAGAAATAATGTACCAAATAATATTTTTTCTTGGTTTTGTCGACGCACTTGCCCTGAAGGCAAATCCTGCTTTTCCCACATGGCGTCCCTTCCACAGCTGGCAGCTTCTTGGTCAGACACACCATTTGGCCCTGTCGAACAACTGCACACCACAGGCGAACACAGACATCCATGCCAGGACATACTGTGTACTCAGGCCCAAATGCCAGCTTGCATTGATGGATAGCATCATATGTCTGTCCTGGGAGCTCTTCAGGGCCCAGGATCTGCTTTCTTGGTAAGTCCAGCAAACAGTTACCTGAAGGGATAATCCAGGTTTCGTTATTACTTTGTTTCTAGGCTTTAGGCTAAGTTAAATTATGACCTCAAAAATAAATGCACAGGCAACAGCTGAACTAAAGTATTACTATGAACCAATAATTATATCTTGCACCTGGCAGGAGAAGCAGCCTAGAGAAAATGGCTAAGGGGTGTGGCATCTCTGAGCATGCTCTTGTATCCTCAACTGTGTCAAAAAGTCACTCAGTTTCTCTGGGCCTCAGTTTCCTTACTTGTAAAATAAAGGAATTGGAGAAGATATCTGAAGTCCCTCTCTAGATTTAAGCTTCTATATCTACATATATTCAGGAATATATGAATTTTAATAAGATACTTGTACAAAAAGTCTTCAAGATTCAAAGGGATGAGAGAAGAGTCAGTGTTTGGGGGCAAAGGTAGGCTTGGTTTGGAGCCATCAAACTGAATGGGTACTACCTACTCATAAGCCTGACCTTGTTTACTCTTTCTCTTATTTCAATATCCTTTGGATTCAGCTTTTATAGGAACTTGTACCTGTTACACATTATTGCAAAAATAGCAAAGACTGGATTATAATGTTGGATATGTGTCTGCTGAGTTACCTTAGCTAACTCTCAACCACTAGGTGCTTTAGTTTCCCCACCTATTCTTACTTTCCTTTTACTATCCTCTTACTTGAGGATAAAATAAATGTTAAATATTCAAGAGAAAGATAACATTACCATTCATGTGGTAGATGACAACTAACCAATTAATGTGTTAGTAAACAATTATTAATAAAATTGATAAGGTTATCATATAGTGTTAATAAATTAGTTATAAAATTACTGATGATCCAATTAAAAATGACACAATTCTAAGAATGTGAAGGACCTGAGAGCTTATCTAGTCTAACTCCCTAATCAATGAATGAATCCCTTCTGCAGGATCCCTGACACTTGTTCATCTAGTCTCTACTTGGATTTGTCCTTTGACAGAGAATTCACTACACTAGTGATGTTCACATATATGGCAAGGCAAAACAGGTTTAAAAATCATCATTTTAATGTTTAAATACAGTAAAATTCAGGAATTGTTCATGCAAAGCTGGGGAAGAAGGTCAACATCATAGGCTTTCTGGGACACCATTCCATTGAACTCCTTGCATCTTCTCCAGCAGCTTCCACACTGGTTGCTTTGCCTCATGGAGTATGCCTCTCCCCATCTCCACCTTCCAGCTGCAAAGGCCAAATCCCTAGATACTATAACATACCTAACTTATACCTCAATGATTAACATGCTCCCACCCCATTAAATCCTCCCCATCCTATTGCTCAAATCTTGTTGTCCATCCCCCATTGATCACTCCCTTATTCTCATCTCCCTCAATCCAACCCCTCCAACATCCCACTTTAAAGCTCCCCACCCCTTTCACTGTGTTCTCTGAAATGCCTGTTCCATAGTTTGCTTTCACCTTAAACCTTTTTTCCTTCCTCACTCCTTCCATCTTCTTATACTCAATGAGACCTGGTTCCTTCCTGATGACATAGCTTCCCTGACCACCCTTTCTGGTACTGGTGGAAAGTTTCATTCACATCCCCTGACAAATCACTGTTCATGGTAGGGGAGCTGGAATACTCTTTGCCCCCTAGTACCACTTCCAGGGTCTCCTGTCACCATCATCTCTCCTTCTTTGGGGTTATTCAATCACCCAACTAGGATTCTGGTAGCTGTTATTTACCAACTTCCAGGAAAATTTCTTCCTTCCTTAATGAGTCCAGTGCCTGGCTCACAGTCTTCTCCTCTCCATGTATGTACTAGGGAACTTCAATATTAATATTCTCTCAAATATCCTAACCTCCCAGTTCCTCAATTTACTCATTTTCCATTTTCCTCCACCCCACCTCAGCTACTCACGGAAATGGTCATACCATCATCTAACAAGTGTTTCAGTATCAGATTTATAAATCCTGGAATTCCTTTATCTGATCATAATCTGTTGCCCTTCCACTTCTCCTTCTGCCTTGTACCCTCTAACTCTATTCTGTGTCTCCACTGTAACCTCCGATATCCACCCTCAGTTCTTTGCCAGGCTTTCACCCCTGGGTTGGCTATATTTTCCTCCCTTCCCCATATTGACCGTGATTGTCACTGACCTTGCCCTGCCAAGCCTCAACCTCAGATTATTCTCACCATCTACTGCTTAAACTCCTATTCACATGCTGCTGAATGAAAGAAAATTTTTTTTTAAAAACCCGAAAAACAAAAAAAATACTATGTAGGTTAGGTTCACTACAACTTTGTTAAGTATTATCAACTAGATCCTCACCTCAGCAATCATTTTACACCTCCTTCAACAATTCACTGTCCCACTCATCAGAGGCTTTTCCATATCTTTTTACCCCTCTTCAGATCTCCCATGGCTCACGTCCTCTACCCTCTCAGGTAAGAATTTCAACTCCATATTCGACTAAAAAAAAATGAGGTTCTTCATCAAGAGCTCCATTTTCTCCTCTCTTCCTCATCTCACGTCACTCAGATTCCTTTTGATCACTGTCTCCTTCACCCCTTTCTCTCAGGAAGAGATGGAGCTTCTCCTAAGTAAGGCAAACCCCTCTACTTGTACAAGTAATCCCATTCCATCCCATCTTCTCCATCAGATTGGCTCCTCTTGAGATAGACGATTTTAATCAGAGCCCAATTTTTTCGTATTTTACTCTAATCAGTATTTATCAGTTTGGTGTTATTCCATACTGTTTGTAATTACAGTGATATACTTATCTATTAATATATATACATTTAGTCAGTCTAGTCAACTATTGTTAGTATATGAATTACCTCTATTAACTCATATTTTACATATATTATATTTAGGGATAATTAGATAAGATTGGTTCTTTCTGTAAGTTCACTTTAAGCTACAAGCTAGAAATACACTTGCCTAACCACAAGAATGTAAAATTCACTTGCCTAACCACAAGAATGCTGGCTAGGGTACCTCCACCCTTTGGCCTGTAGGAGCAAGGCCAACATGGGTGAGAAGACAATAGGACTTTGGACCTCCACCCTCTTTTGATTAATTACCATGACCGTGTTCAGTGTGAGATGTCTTGACGTGATATGGAAAGTTCCTCAACTTATTTTTATACCTCTGGACCACCCTCTCTTGCCCAACATGAGGTGAGGCCCATCTTAAGATCACTTAGTCAGTGGAGATGATCCTTGCCTTGCCTGTCCTGTGATGACCCATGCTGATGCATCATTTCTGGCCCTTCTAGAGGGTCAAGAGCAACCAATGAGACTCTAAAATTTTACTCTGCCTCTTCTGTGTGTCTGGTTATCAAGCACTATGAAAGTAAGGCCCTGGTGACAGGAGGCTTCTCAGATCATGAGGAAGATATGAGGTTCTATTCATTAAAGGCATCCAGGTCCCTTTAATAAATGGTTATTGGCTCAGAACTCTGGTTCAATTTCTTTTGCTGTAGATTGAGCATTTTTGGACTTCATACTCTAACATCTTTGCTATTTTGTTTACTTTCATTATCTCCCTCCTAGCTGATTCTCTACTGACTATATATCTCTCCATTCTAAAAACAAACAACAAACCAAAAAACCCTCAAAACCTTAATTTCCTCTGTTAATTCCCACTACCTATCATCCTATAGCTCTCCTCCATTTCCCAGATAAACTTTTTTTTTTTGGCCAGTTATGCCTATTACTCTCTCTGAGGTAAAGACAATTCTATAGGAACTTCAGGACAGATATTTCACTTTCACCTCTGACCTGTGTCATCTGCATAATTTACAAGTCCAGATCTTTTGGCAAGTCAGGGGATGTACTTTCATGATCTTTGATTGAATCAAACTCTTGGCAATGGTTATTTTCTCCTCCAGGAATGTGATGTAGAAATCTCTGGGCATTCTCAGCTCCCAACCTCTCAAGTTCACTAGATTAATGACTGGGCTAGGATTTCTCCATTTCTCAGGATTGCTGCGTCCACGGTTTAATTTCTCTCAAGCTGGCTTGACATGCATTGCATGGGAGTTCAGTCCAAAACTGGGCCCCTCTACGGGGGCCAGTTCAGAACTGGTTTCCCCAGATAAACTTCTTGATAAAGCCATCTACAAATGGTGCCTGCAGTCCCTTTCCTCTCACCACTTCCCAACTCTCTACAACCTGGCTTTTTAGTCAACTAAAATAACACTTTCCAAAGTCACCAGCGATTTCTTAATTGCCAAATCTCATGATCTTTTCTTAATTTTCATTCTTGAACTATCTGTACCCTCTGATACAATCAAAGACTTTTCTGACTAAAATCCCAGAGAAGGCAATTGGTACTTCCAATTTCCTTTCTTCTTACTCCCTTCTTAACTCTCCAAAGTCTGGCTTTTGACCTCATCACTCAATTGAACCTGTTCTCCCCAAAGTTACCAACGATCTCTCAAACACCAGATTGAATGGCCTTATCTCAGAGATTCTCAACTTTTCCCCATCCAGGGTCAAATATAAAATCCACAGTTTGGCTTTTTAAAGCTCTCCATAACCTAGCCCCTTCCTACCTTTCCAATATTCTTATTCCTTACATTTCTCCCTACTACTCCCTTCCAAAATACTCTGCTATCCAGTTACATTGGCCTCATTATTCCTTAAATAATTCCAATCTCTTTATTCTGTACATTTGTACTGAGTGTTCCCTATCATGGGATTATCTCTCTCCTCATTTCCTCTACCTAGCTTCCCTGGCTTCCTTCAGGTCTCAGCTAAATTCTCACCATCTACAAGAAGCCTTTACAAATCTCTCTTAATGCTAATGCTTTCCCTCTGTGGATTATCTATATTTATCCTGTATGTATCTTTTTTTGTATTGTATTTTGGGTTTTATTTATTTATTTTTTTGCCTTTCTTTTTCCTCAAGTACTAAACATAGTGCATGATACATAGTAAATACTTAATAGGTGCTTTTTGACTTGAGTTGATTTGAAATGTTTTAACTTTATTCAAGTTTCTTCAAATCACATATCC